CCAGGCGGGTCTCGAACCTGTGGGCTCAGGCAATTCACTCACCTCGGCCTCCCAAAGCACGGGATTACAGGCTGAGCCACCAAGCCCAGCTGCAACTACAATTTTTGAAAGAAGATTTATGTACTAATTGAGTCACTAAATCAGAGTTAAATTTTTTTTTTTTATAGAATCACATCATTTTTCTGGAAAAATTGACCAAAGATTGAAGCTAGCTTCCATTTATCACAAGGCAGATTCTCGTAGTTCTCTCATAGTCTGTTTCTGTTGCTACAAGACTTGATTTTAAGAGACATTTCTATGGAAGTGTTTCAAAATTAACATTCAAGATCCTGCTTGAACAGGATCCTTCTGTATGTTGAAGCATCTACAGCATTTCTGCTTTTTGGCACACTCTCAATCGCATGTGCTGCAGGTACCTGGCCCCATGGCTCCAGCTGCTGGCTCCTGTGCTCTGACACATCAGTCCAGGGCCACAGTCGCAGCGCTGGAAGATATCCAGAGTGTCTTTATGCCCTCTACTGGAGCAGACCTGTCCCTCCTGAAGGATTGGCTTACAAATTTTAGTCCAAAAATGGCGAGCACAGCAAAGTCCAGGACCACAGTCAGTAGTTCTGAGGCAGTTTTCACCCACTTGTCCTGTAACCAGATTAACATGGGTGTTAGTGATAAATGGGGAATGTGGCACACGGCAGGTTGCTGCTGGAGTCTAGGACTGAGACCACCAAGTAAACATGGAAATGGCACGCAAGTCTCAGCTGGATCCTGTGCTAAAAGCCATAGGGCAATGGATGACTCCAGCCTGGCCTCACTGAACGTATTGTTTGTTGTTATGGATGACTCCTGTCCTCCTGGCCTGCTGACCACCTCAGGACACTCCCTGAAATGTATCTGAAGCTTCCTATGGGACATGTTCCCTACGGGCTTCTGGGGTGGAAAAGAATAGTCATGTTAGCCTATCCTTGAGAGGCAAGGAGGAGAAATGTGCTTCTTAAGCAAAATGGGCTTGGAATGCTGCTTTTGCTCTTACTGCCTTGTGATGTTGATGTCTTGATGTCTGGCTCCCCCTTGGATTGGTCTTCCTGGCTTGGAGGCCCAATTCCTCTTGTGCCCACACCGTCCTGCCCGTCAGGCTTTCTCTCCATCCAAGTACAAACATCTGAGGGACAACCCGGTGTCATTAGTTACTAACCTCAAGGACAGAATCACAGACATGATGTCACACTGCTTACATGGGTTAGCAGCACCTCTAACTTCAGTTTATATATAACTTTCTAGATTCCTGGGACATACACTAGATATTTACGTGTTCATACGTGGCAAGGAGGGTAGTTAAATAATTAATGGAATCCGAGTGAAAATGGAAGAATTTGAATGACTCCAACTTGAATATTTCTTTTAAAATCATTATCTTCAAGTCATTTGGCAAGAGTTGTTGCCCGGAAATAAAATTATTTAGTTTCATCAAGAAAAGGCAGCTGCCTAACTTTACTTTAAGCATGACTCCAGGGAGCCATTAGAGAATGCCTATCTTGGAATATCCTAGTCTGTGAGACCTCGATGCTGCCTTCAGCTTAAAGCCCACTTGATTGGAGACAAGCAGTCCCGCCAGGTGCATGATTGCTCACCATTCTCGCAGAATGTACGTGGGCCCCACATGCTGCTCAGCTGGCACTTCCTCTGTGATGGGAGGCAAAACCTTCTGGCTTGGCAGTCCTTGTCAGACAAGCACTGTAAGGGCTGTGAAAGGAAACTTGTCACCAGGATAGGGAATCCAACAAGATGTAAGAGACTTGCTCTTTATTTCTTTTTTTTTTTAAGTCAGGGTCTCACTGTGTCACCCAGGCTGGAGTGTGGTGGTGCGATCATGGCTCACTGCAGACTTGAACTGGGCTCAGGAGGCAACCCTCCTGCTTGAGTACCTGGGACTACAAGAGCACGCCACCATACCTGGCTAATTTTTTTATTTATGTAGAGATGAGGTCTTGCTATGTTGCCCAGTCTGGTCTCAAACTTCTGGATCAAGCATTCTTCCCACTCTGGCCTCCCAAAGTGCTGGGATTACACCCAGCCTAGATGTCGGAGGCTTTCTATTCAAGGCAAGAGAGGGAAAAAGCCAAATCATGATGGCACTTTGAATGCTGTGACAAACTTTAGGCAGCATCTTAATTTTTCCATGTAATTGGTTTTCTCCCACAAAGGGGAGAGATCAAGTCACCTGTGAAGAGACCTAGGCGCTGCAAACCTATGAAGAGACCTAGGCGCTGTGTGTAAAAATTTGTTCTACTTTTAAAACTCAGCATTTAATTTTCTTACGCTTTTTGTGAAAACAAGAGAAAATGTCTCCCTATGTGTGTCTTATAGGTGATGATGAACATTTCCATATATATTAGGAGCTGTGCTACAGTTTAATTAAGCATTATATCAGTGTTTGTAGCATTCCTATTTGATTTTCCACTCTAGTAGGTCACACCATTCAATCACTGCCTGTTTTGCTCAATGAGCTTACCTGAGTGAATTGTCTTTTGATTTTTTTTTTTTTTTTTTTTAGTTGGAGTCTTACTCTGTGGTTGGAGTACACAGGCTGGAGTGCAGTGGTACGCTCATGGCCACCACGGCCTGCTGGGCTTAGGTGATCCTTCCACCTCAGCCTTCCAAGTAGCTGGGACTACAGGTGTGTGCTACCATGCCCGGCTTATTTTTTGGTTTACTGTAGAGATATGATCTCACCAAGTTGCCCAGGCTGGTCTTGAACCTCCGAGCTCATGCAATCCTCTCTTGCCTCGGCCTCCCAAAGTGTTGGGATGACAGGCATGAGCCAACACTCCCAGCCATCCTTTGATTTTTAATGAGGCCTCATTCACAGAGAAGGAGATTCCAAAGATAATTCCTCTCATCCTCAGCTGATGCATTTCATATATATAATATGTATATGGTATGTATATTATATATGCTGTACATATTTAATATATGCATACTATTTAGGTATAACATATAGCATATATGACACGTAATACATAATAATGTATGCACATAAAGTTATCTCTTAATTCTGAGAAGTTGGTAACAAACACCAACTTGGCACTCTGTTTAAATTTTTTTTTTTTTTTTTTTTTTTTTGAGTAGGAATCTCACTGTCACCCAGGCTAGAGTGCAGTGGCACACTCATGGCCACCGCAGCCTCAACCTGCTAGGCTCAGGTGATCCTTCTGCCTCAGCCTTCCATGTAGCTGGAACTACAGACGTGTGTGCCACCACGCCCTGCTAATTTTTTTATTTACTGTAGAGACGAGGTCTTACCAAGTTGCCTGGGCTGGTCTCGAACCCATAGGCTCAGGTAATCCCTTCACCTCAGCTTCTCTAAGTGCTGGGATTATAGGCGTGAGCCACTAC